CCTTATTTGCGAGTGTGTTTAAATCGATATGCACAAGCTATCGAACGTGGAAGAATATTGGTGGTATTAGATGATCGGCAAGTTTTAGAAGAAAATATATATTTTCTTTTTCTTTCTATGGACCAACACACCCAACAACTGGAAATAATTATAACATCAAATCATTTGCAAGGCACAAGTATACTCGGAATGGTGAGTTAGCAAATTCATTTCACAGCAATTATTAACGTAAGTGTTTTCAGTTTTAGGAGTCTGCAAATATATTTATAACAGCAGAATAACAATTAAGATAAGAATGGAAAACAATAATAGTCTGCACGTATACTAGCAATAGCAGAATAGCAATAAAATCAAGGATGGTTAGCAATGATACTCCAAACTCATAAATGCCCAACAGATGCAATGAAATGGCAACAGAAAATGTGATAAAGCTTAGATAAGTTTTATATTGCAGGACAGGACAAGGTCACCGCTTGTTGCTACATCGCAGTGAATAACAACAAAAAATTATGACTGTTGGCAATACTAATGACAATGATGTACTATTATGATTTTTTATTGTCATTATTGTTATTCCTACTTTTATGGCCATTACAATTATTGTTGTTGTTAATATAATCAATTATTAGTTATTTTTGTTATTCTTACTTCTACAACTCCAACGGTACAGTTATCATCGTTATTATAATGATTATAAAAATGATGATATATAACGAATGTCTTTGCACCAATAATGATAATCATAACAATCATGATAAGGGAAAGCAGCAATAGTAATAATAAAAGAAGAATTAGTAATTATATGATTCATTATGTACGTATCATTGTTAAATGTACACATACAGTTCATACAGTACATATATAAATAAATGCACACACACATACACACACACACACACACACACACACACGCGTAGGGGAGTGTGCATGTGTGTGTGTGTGTGTGAGTGTGTGTGAGTGTATGTGTGTGTGTGTGTGTGTATGTGTATGAATATGTATGTATACACACACACACGCACACATACACACACACACATACACACACACACACATTATATATATATATATATATATATATATATATATATATATATATATATATATACATATATATATATATGTATTCATAGATATTCACATATATATATATATATATATATATATATATATATATATATATATATATATATGTATTCATAGATATTCACACACACACACACACACACACACACACACACACATATATATATATATATATATATATATATATATATATATATATATATATATATATATATATATTTATATATTTGTATGTGTGTGTGTGTGTGTGTGTGTGTGTGTGTGTGCATGTGTACAGGACAATGGTACGTACATTATGAATCATATGATTCTTCTTTTATCATTACTATTGCTGCTTACGTTTATATACATGTGTGTACATATACTTACATACATACATATACATATATATATATGTATATATGTACATATATATATATATATATATATATATATATATATATATATATATATATATGTATGTATGTATGTATGTATGTATAAATACACATATGTATATAAACATAAATATATATATACAAATCTACAAACATAGTAACTGATTTCTATCTTTACCCTTTTCTTGTAAAGCCCAATATGGTATTTGGCATCTCTCGTGCCCTCGAAATAAGGATAGAAGAAGTATAAATACGGGAAAACATTTATGAAACATACACATGCCAAGCGTCGTCAGTATAGTACAATAGATACTGAGAAGTATGAGGATCTTCGTTTTGGTGGTGTGTATAGAAGTATATGTATATAAATATATAGATAAATATAAATATATAGATTGATTAATAAATACAAAGAGAGAGAGAGAGTGTGTGTTTGTGTGTGCGTGTGCTATATAGGTATATATATATATATATATATATATATATATATATATATATATATATATATATACATATATGTACATAAATATATGTTTATAGCTGTGCATGTATGTATATATGTATTATGTAGTTAAGTGTACCTACTGCGTACCTCTTTAGTATGAGCAATTTTTCTAAACAAGAGATATTATTTCAGGTAAATTCGTTTTCTGTCATATATATATTACTTGGCATGAACTAAGAAACCTTTTCAACCAAGGTCAGGCGGTAGCCACGGTGGCACTGGCCTCCGAAGTGACAGGTGATAAACTCGGACACGGAACCGGAGATCCTGTTAGCAGTCCGCGATCCTTCGTTGCCGGAGGATCTGGTGGCAGAGCTTCTGGCGGAGGTGTGAGGCCCCACGGCGACGGCGGACGCGGCAGAGGCGGCGACGTGACTCGTGCAGTCCTCGTTCGCTCCCACTTCCTTCCCGACGGGGGACCAAGAGCACAAGTAGGCATCATCTCTAAAGGAGCTGATTTTGATAAGTCAGGTGCTCACAGTTCTGAAGATGAGACTGAAGGAAACCGCTTTAGAGGAGTCCTTTTCCGAGGCGATTTTCTTGAAAGAAGAAGCAAGACTGTTACTTTTGATTCCGAACGTGGCCACTGGGCTGCTGATTATCAATAGAATATGAAGTGTAAGTTAATAATCTAATATAAAGTAGGTTAGACAATATTCACAACCACATTGAAAGGTTTTGTAAATATTTTCTCGTCATCTATTATGTATTCATTAATAAAAGGCTTTATTATCCTAAGTTCATCCGAGCCACCGTCGAGGAGTTCGAGATTAGTTTTCAGAAACATTTACACGCAAGAGGTTACAGCAGATAAAGAAGGTTATATTAATATCACATGCTCGAAGTGTGATCCATTTCCATAACTATTTTGCGAGGTTATCAGAGGCTTTGTGCGATGTTGCTTGAGCAATGTTTGCAAGTGTAGTCTCTCTTGCCACTTGGTTCTTTCACTAGGACGGTACTCCTCAAGGGCATTCCATATTTAGTGATCCCACAGACATTAATCGGGAGGTGCAAGGTCTGGCAATAGAATTATTGACTGATTATTTCAAATTATCTGCCGCGTCAAAAACTAAAGTCATTAGCGGCGAATACTTTGTAGGATCAAAAAAGTTAGAATAGATATAATGCAGCACATTCAAATACTGCGGTAATCTTCTTCCTGCTGGATGATGCTCTTTTTGGATACACGTTTATTGTTATCACTTTCGATATAGTCAATTGATGTCCTGCAAAAAAAGATGAAAAGTTCTCTTCCATAGAAGCCTCCCGAAGTGGTTGGCTGCATGACGACTTCAAGGTGTGAGTGACAAAGGTGGACAGCATTCATCAAAAAGCGTTTTGTAATGCGTGTAGTTATGAAGTAAATGCAGAGATCTTTCCCATTAAACGACACAAAACATCCCTTGTTCATGCTTCTCATTCACCCTAAAAAAACAGATACCGCAACAGTTAGCAATGATGATACGACAAGGACCGAAATCAAAGCTCTTTCATGCTTCGTAGAACATAGCCTACCACTAAACAGTTTTTATCATTTTCAGATGCGTTGAAAGATGCCGTGACAGATTCCTAAATCAAGCAACGAATTGCACTTAAAAATACTAAGGCAACATATATCGCTTTTTTTTTTGGGTTACTGATGAGATAACTGGTGTAAGCACATTAGAAATGTCTCTTATAGCATATAAATTTTTCAACAGGGAAACAAAAATATATATATATAACACCAAGCTCCTAGATATGACAGAAAATTATGACTAAAAGTGATAGATCTAGGTCGACAGGGGGATAGAATCTATTCTTGAGCATTACCTAATGATATCAGCCATTACAAACAATAAAAACAATAATGCACACAAAACAAAATTATAAAAGGCGACAGCGCATCGTCCTGCCGAACCCCATCTTCCCTTCGTTCGACTCAGGGGATTCTTACATTTCTGTAGGCTTATTTATAGCCATTTTCTTTGAATCCAAGTGAAGACAGAAAATGCTGATAATTAGGGGATACTTTACTAGAACAAATGGCGAAAACAAAGAAAAAAGAAAAAAAATGTATATTAACATGTGTATCGTGGGATAAAAAGAAAATGAAAGCATGAGTAAGACCTACTTAACTTTTCTTATCCGGTTATTAATGAAACACAAAAAAGGTCAGGCAAGATTCATTTATTAGGGATTCGAACTAATATTGTGCAGAGTATTTGAAATAGCCTATTCGCACAGCTAGTGTTGTGCGGAGGATTCGAAATAGCCTATTCGCACAGCGGTCTGATCGATATTTCTTATTTTTGTGCTGTTCCGAGTTTATTCTGGATATATATAAACACTTAGTAAAAGATCATAAAATATATTTATCATGCTTCCTCTCTAATTAATCTTTAATCATCCTAGAGTCAAAAAATAAAAAATAAAAATAAAAGAATAAAAAAAATATAAAGTCTCGCAGCCCCGCCCCCAAATGCGCGTATTCACATGCTTCAAATTTGAGATAAATATCAACTCAATTGATGCGCAGAGGGATATGCCGTCCTCTTGATCACAGAAATATTACTATTGACAATTTTCAAATCAATTGTAATGCATCTATAAGACTACGGCGTTGCATTCTGCGCAGATGTTCGGCAGCAGGGTTCGCCTCGCTTATGCCGCGCTATTGCCGTCCACTTGGTCCCATTTCACGTAAAATCGCCCTGCGTTAAAGTTCGACAGCAAGGTTCGCCTTCCCTATGCCTCCCTGTTGCCTTCCGCTCGTCTCATTTCATCGATGGATGTAATGCAGTTCCTTCGTAAAGGGAAATATTCCGAATAGTATTTCTCTTTCCTTTTCTCGCTCTCTTATCCTCTCCCCCACCTAGATAGATA